AAGAGACCTCATCCCTGATACTCCAATCTTTTGCCACAAAGCCTCTCCAATCCACCCATCTATACCTCCATTAGAGATAGACTGCATTTCATACTGCCAAATGCATTCTGTGGCCCTTTGCTCTGTGTTGCCTTTTGTTCATAAGTTTCTCTCCACATGAACATGGTTCTTTCCCCAACAGCCTACACTTTAGGAGCCAACTCCTATGTCACTCTACCCAGGAACCCTCTTTGACTACCCAGATCCTCATTATGTTTTCTCTCCTCCAGAATGGAAAGTTTGTGACCTGACACTTACAAATGAGTATATAATTCTATTTGTTTTAGATTATTGGATTTTACTTTGTGTGAATTAATCTTATCTTGGAAGCCAGATAGTTAAGTATCTCGAGAGCAGGAAAGCAATACAACTCAAATTTCTCTGTACCCTTGACATTGCTCAGTTTAGGGATGCTCATGCCTCAGGGTGAAGGGCAGACTGGATACTGGAAGAAGGGCCAAAATAGCCTCTTCAGAGATTTTGAGCTCAAGGATTTTTGGTTATGAGACCACTGTCACCAGAGCAACACAGTCTCAAAGAAATTCAGAAATCCTGGGATATTGGAGTCATAACACAATACCCACAGAGGCCAAGAAGGTAACATAAGGAGTAAATCAATAGTCAAGGTATAGGACTGATGGGTCCTGAAGCTGATTGGAAAACACTGTCCTGTCTAAAAGTTACCATAATTTAAGTTAAAGGAAAAAAACAAAAATAAAAAACTCCTCAGGTAAACATATATCTAGAGTAGATAAGTAGGTCCATGAACAAGAACTAGTTTGTGACCCCTACTTGGAAGTAGCCACTCATGTCTATATGAAGTCATCTCCTGTAGCAAGCAGAAGGCTATCACATGGATAGCGACATCTCTGGAACACAAAAGGATGATGCTCCAGAAGTGAGTCAAATTTATGTGCCTTCATGGAAGGTAGTGTTCATAATCTCTTCCCATTACAGAATGAAGGCTTCCTTTCACCACATATTTAAAACTAAAGTAACCTCCAGCACCACTCCCACTCCCAGCAACTCCACTCTGCCTCAGTCCTGGGCCACCCCCGCCACTGCCCTCGGCACTGTCCTAGAGTGGCTTTTGCTACCCAACAAGGGAACCTGCCCTAGGTCTCAACTCTCATCTTAGAGAGTTGGTCTGCTCAAGAAGACCCAACACAATCAAATGTCTGCATCCCTTGAAGAAGACTGCTACTGTCATTTTCATTAATGTGCATTAATGTGCATTAATATGCAGGTGGGGCAGAGCACC